TTTTAGCGTTCTCGTTACTTACTCGTGGTTAAATTAATTTCGTAGGGATTAAAAATCAGGTTGACCTGTGGTCGTAGATTAAAAATAACCATAGTACAGCTAAATTTATCGTGTTAAATAATTCTTCTTACACGAATGAAAAATGTATTCAACGTTTGCTTGTTACAATACCATGAAATAAATTATATTACACATTTTCTCTATTCACACTGAATTTAAAGATTATAACGATTAAAAATCAAGTTGACCTGTGGTCATTTATCAAGAATAATCATAATAAAGCTGAAATTATTGTGTTAAATAATTTTTTTAATACGAATTAGGAATTTATTCAACGTTTGCTTGTTACAATACCATGAAATAAATTATATTATACGTTTTCTATATTTACACTAAATTTATCGTTCTATTCTAACAAGCAAACGTTGAATAAATTCCTAATTCGTATTAAAAAAATTATTTAACACAATAATTTCAGCTTTATTATGATTATTCTTGATAAATGACCACAGGTCAACTTGATTTTTAATCGTTATAATCTTTAAATTCAGTGTGAATAGAGAAAATGTGTAATATAATTCATTTCACGACACTAAAACAAACAAACGTTGAATACATACAAATGTAACGATAGAAATTATTGCAATAATGCGTAATGCAATTGAAAAATTGAAAGAATCAAAAGAAAAAACGCGAATTCTATATTACACATTTTCTCTATTCACACTGAATTTAAAGATTATAACGATTAAAAATCAAGTTGACCTGTGGTCATTTATCAAGAATAATCATAATAAAGCTGAAATTATTGTGTTAAATAATTTTTTTAATACGAATTAGGAATTTATTCAACGTTTGCTTGTTACTATTTGTTACAGTATACTGTCTCGCAATGTAAATTTAAGTAAATTAGGTTGAACTGCACAGAAAATGCACAGAACTGCACAAATAATTCATTTCACGATATTATAACAAGCAAACGTTGAATAAATTTTTCATTCCTATAAAAGGAATTATTTATCACGATAAATTTAGCTGTACTATGGTTATTTTTAATCTACGACCACAGGTCAACCTGATTTTTAATCCCTACGAAATTAATTTAACCACGAGTAAGTAACGAGAACGCTAAAACCTATGTTTCCATTGAAGAATATTGTGAAAACGCATAAATTGTTATATGCAATGTTATAAGAAATGGTCGGAAGTATAAATTTATAACAAAATTGGGAAAACTGACAAATTATACCGTGTTACGGTAACGGAAATCTCCCGCGAAAACTTCCCGCGAAAATTTCCCGCCTGACCTAACCGACGATTTTGCTAATGACTTTGGGGAGAGGGTACCGCTATTAATGTTATAATAACGTATAATTTATTAATTTTCACAATTTTATTATTAATTTATACTTCCAAAAATTTGTTAAAACATTACATATTATTATTTATACATTTTTGCAAGTTTCTTTGACAAATAAGTACGTTTCAACGATCTTATTACTTTCTCGTTGTGAAATCAAGTTCGGAGGATTAAAAATCAGGTTGACCCTTGGTCGTAAATTTAAAATAGCCATAGTGAAGGTGAAATTATTATTTTAAATAAATGTTTCTATACGAATTAAGAATCTATTCAACGTTTGTTTGTTGCAATACCGTGAAATAAATTGTATTATATATTTTCTCAGTTTAGACTGAATTTAAAGTTCGTAAGGATTAGAAATCAGGTTGACCTGTGGTCGTAGATTAAAAATAGCCATGGTGAAGGTAAAATTATTACGTTAAATAATTGTTTTTATACGAATTAAATATTGATTCAACGTTTATTTGTTGCAATACCGTGAAATAAATTGTATTATATATTTTTTCTGTTTACACTAAATTTAAAGTTCTGTTTACATGTTATAACAATTAGAATGTTGACGTTTTGCCGTTTCACGGTTTTTCCTCTGTTAATTATGTGTTTATAAATCATTTCAAACTAAAGCAGCACCATGCCCACCCTTAATTAAACCGTCTCAGTAGTTTACCGTAATTAATAATCTATTTTCGGAATTTATACGAGAATTTTTGAATTTTAGTAAATACTAGAGTCAGTGTCCACCCTGTACACACTCAGCCTTCTTGTAACACTTGTATACATTCGAATTAATTAGAATTTCAATACAATAGACTGAATAACAATTCATTTGAACTAACACTTATTAGAAATTTTCCTTTTCAAACAAATATAAATCATTTTACCAATTACTGATACTTGCTAGACATTTAATATCAGACCTTAAATATTCTCCTTTCGGTTCTTTTAATTACAATCAAATAATTTCTTCTCCAGCAATTGAAATTAATTTTAAATTTTTCATATATTTTCTCTGATATTGAATTTTGTTTACTAATAATTTACCATCCAACGAATTTGCATGAATTGCATGTTAAGTAGTTAGTTGATTTATTATTGTATATTGTAAGCAGATTTGGAACGAGTGCACTACATTCGTGCACTATGCCCACCCTAAATTAAACCGTCTCAGTAGTTTACCGTAATTAATAATCTATTTTCGGAATTTAGGCGAGAATTTTTAAATTTTAGTAAATACCAGAGTCAGTGCATCGCGTATTGAAATAATAGCTTCATCCCTAGTTCGTTTATTATTGAATATTTTTACGCGTTTAACTTATGCTTCTCCCCAACTCTCGTCGTGTATTTTATTCAAATTTTCTTATATTCTAGAATCGAAAAAGATACGAATTCGCGTTTTTTCTTTTGATATTTTCAATTGTTCACTCTCGTTCTACGAAAGCTTACTTCAATAATAATATTGAAAATTTTACTGGTGATTTGGTTTAGTGGTTGTGTTGTGTATTGCCAGCTCAAATATGAGCTGTTTAATGTATATGCTTAAAATGTATTTTTTCTTGTGGCCGCGTGACAGCAACCTGTAAATCTGGCGTGACAGTGAACGTGTTAATAAGTAAATGTTGTTCGAATTATGTCGTGTTTGATGTCATTTTCATCCGAAAAATCTCATCAACATGTTAAGAAAAATTCCAGATGAAAAAAAGTAAAATTAAAGAAATTATATTTTTCTATTATGATTTGTCGAGCTGTGAAATCTCGTAAAGTGTAACGCTGGTGTAGCGTTACACGCTTGACTGACTTCGTGCGAGATAACATGGGCGCAGCAATGACGCAGACCTAGGCGTAAGACCATCCATACTGTCACTTGTAGAATCCAACTTACTGACTCTTGTAGAGAATTTACTGCATTTGTTACTTGTGTTCAAAGGAATCGCAATTTCTTTTCGAAAAAGTAAAATGCTTAAGCGAGTATGTAAATGGTTTAGTGGTAGAGTGGACGAAAGAATTGTTGAATGAATAGTTAAATAGATGAGTAAATATGTAGATAGATATGTGGGGCAAGTTGTTGAGTAAATGAATTGGTAAGTAGATGAGTAGATAAATCAGTAAGTAGATGAGTTGACGAGTAGACAAGTAGGCGAGTAGACGAGTAGACAAGCAAATGGTAAAGCAACAGATGAGCTGATAATTGCATAATCAGTTAGTATACGAGTAGATTAATAGATCAATATACGAGTAGTGAAAATGAATGATGAAATCAAACGATGAGTAAACAAGTAGAAAAAGTAAGGAAGCAGAAAAAGAATAGGCGTGCAAAAGAAATATACAGTAGAATAAAATTAAGTGAATAACTGAGTAGACAAGTAAAAGAAATAGACAAGTGACAAAATAGATGAATTTAAAAATACTTTCAATTATTTATTTACCATAGTCTTGACATTTAAATATACATATTGTATATGAAAATCGATTCTCCTGCTATTTAAATAAATTTGAAAAATTCCCACGGTAAAATCGTTATTTCTATATTAAGAACGAAAAGAGGACGTAAAATGAAGGATAAGCGACACCAGAACCACATTCATATTTTATTTTACCACAGAGACAATAAAAAATACAGAATACACTTCGGTGGCAGGGATGACAGTTTTCTCTAATTAACATACTATTCGTCGTTTCGCAAAACGTCTTATTATCTACGACTATCCTGCATAACCTAATCTAACCTTAAATTCTGCATCAGCTATACCTAATTATAAGTAATTGTATGGCAATAAAATTCAAATTGCAGCATCGGCAACGTGAAACAACGAAATGATTATTCATATAATAAAATAATTGGAACGATAACATTATTTACAAACAGAAAAATATCGTCGTTCGAGTTTTGTCGTATCGTTGAACAAACGAAAATCGCGTTCCGGAATGGAGTGTAAAAAATCAGGTACAACATAAACTCTGGCCATCATGACGGCTGCAAAAATTACATTGCGCGATTTTCGTTCATACGAAATCCAAACAGATTTTTGACAGAAAGTCGAACGATTTAACAGTGGAGAATTATCAAACACATCAGTTACATTGTAAATTCGACGAAGTTCAGGTAAACTCGCAATTCAAAGTATTGAATCGCCTTAAGGATTACATTTACTCCTAAGATAAAGTAAAATTACATTTGCCTCGAAGCTAAATAAATTAAACATTATTTTCAGAGTGTAAATGAACGATAAAATGAACTTTCAACGAGACGATCGAAAGTACAATATATCTATACAGAGGTATATCCAAGAAAATAACAATAAAACACAGGGAAAGATTAAAATGCCGCGAAGAGGAAGTCAAAATGCAAATCTTTCACTGTCACGTGTAATATCTTCTTTTCTATTCAAAGAGGTATTTATCTTCGTAAATCGACCCTTATGTTCGCAACTTCCAGAAATAAAAAAAAAAAACAAACAAACTCGGAAAGCTCCTTCGAAACCAGAAATATTGCATTGATCGTTGCAATTCTATCACAAACATTAATTCTCCTTTACATATAATACTATCTTCATGATACATTCTATGTTACAGTAATTAAATTAATCAGTTTACCTAAATATCATCGAATTGATATAAGAAAAAAAAAAATCTTCTTTCTTTTTCAGTAGTAAAGATCGTTGTGCGTGGAGAGCGCTGCAGCGCGTGCGTGCGCTTTCAGATGTGCCTCGCGTGCCCTCATCACTTCCGGCGTGTCCACCACGCGTCCATCCGGTCCCAATGGCGCGAGAGGACCCCGATAGCCCATCGACGGCGTGTGCTTGTATGTAACTCGAATAGGAGCCAGGTAGACCAGATTTTTTCGCCCGTCGAATACGTCGAGTTCGTAGAATTCGGACGCCTTGGAAGCTGCGCGCGAGTGCGCCGCCATGCGAGCACTTTTCGCGTCCGCCATCTGAAAATGAGGAGAAATATTTATTGTTAATTTAAAAAATATAATTTACCTTCAATTTTTTCTTTATTGTTAATTTTAAAAGTGGAAATTAAGACCTCCTTATGTCTTAAATCCTTCGTTGAATTTTTAAAGTAGAAATTAATTAATGGAAAGCCGTGTAGGAAGCTTGAATTTGAAATATATATTTTTGATGGTTTTTCAGGGCAGATTCAATTGATATCGAGTATTCGAAGGTTCCTAAAAATGTGGAATATGATATGTAATAATTTCCTTAACTTCAAAGTGAAATATGTCACTTTTTATTCCCTTCATTTCCCTTTTCTTAACTTTCAGATAATCTAAAAGATAGTAAAATTAATATTCCACATATCGTTCAAAATTTTTCCCCACAAATTCAAATTAATATCAATATTCAAAAATTTTCTTCACAAATTCAAATTAATATCAATATTCAAAAATTTTCACTGTAGATTGAAATTAATATTCAAAAATTTTCTTCACAAATTCAAATTAATATCAATATTCAAAAATTTTCTTCACAAATTCAAATTAATATCAATATTCAAAAATTTCCCCCAAAGAATTTAAATTTACATTCGAAAGATTCGTCAACGAAGTGTAAAATCTGTTTCCTTTACCTCAGGAGGGTCCATGACGTGTGCATCACGATCCAATGGCACGTACGCCCTCTGTCTCTGCCGTTTCTGCATCACAGTTTCCATGGGGTCCATCATTTGTGGCATATACGACATCTCGTTGTTCTCATACATTTCGTAATCGTTCTGAGCCTTCCTCAATCTGGCCATGGCCTCAGCGTGCAAAGCTAAGTGGGAAGCCCTCGCGTGGGCCACTTCCGGCGTGTCCATGACAAGCCCATCGTTCGACAAAGGGGCTGGAGGACCTCTGTACTTATAGTATTCTCTGTCTTCGTAGGTTTCGGCGATAGACGGTGCCACTAACGCGGCCAGGACTACCTGAAAAGGTGCGCCGAAGAATTACGTTGCATCTTGTGAGTTTCGAAGAAAATTCTTCGGCTTTCAGACCACAGATTATTCGTTGGATAACAGAGACGAGGTCATTCAATGTAATTTTATTTGTTGATATTAAACCGAACTTATGAATGTTAGTTGATTTTTTCTTAAATACGTAGAATACGTATGAATACTATTGTACAAGATAATACTTTTTAAAATTTCATTTGTTTTTTAGGGGGTTATATCTGACATGTGAATGTGGATTGACCTTTTCTTTAGGTATGCAGGAAAGTGAATTTTGAACGGTGATTTTATTTTTCTATTGATTTTACAGTAATGTAAAGAATAATTGTATTAGGTAAATTTGAAAATATTTAAGAATCGATCAATGTAAGCTATTCTGAACTGAAACGAAGCAAAAGAATTCTCTATAAATGAATGTTCAACGTTCAACTATCCTCAATGGTGATTTCCATGGAATCGAAACTTATCGATGACAATGAAGCGATTTCTCCCTGATGTAATCACACTTACAAGCAAGCTCATGTTGTTGGGACACCACCAGCCGCGAAACGAACGTCTCGGTTGCAAGTGTGGCTGGTTCGATCGGTCGATCTACCTTTTATAGCGTTGCGGCGTTGACCAGCGAAACCACGTTACGATGATCACACCTGACATGGAAATTGATACCTTAATTATTTTATCGCTAATGAAGCAAACATGAATTGTACGATGTCATAACGATGTTTTTTGCTGAAACGCGTGAGAAAGTATTGCAGGCTAATGATGAAGTGCCTGTCGAACGAGTAACTTCACATTTCGTTACTCTCAATGTGTACACGATCGATAAATCAGGAGATCGTTAGAGTAACAATTTTTACGTGAATTTCTAAAATTTCTGAATTTTATGAGAATTTCTAGAATCGCGTAATTTGACGTGCATTTTTGAAATTGTTCAATTTTATGTAAATGTTGAAAGTTTTTCATTTAGATGTGAATGTTGAGAACTTTTAAATTTTACGTGAATTGTAAAAATTTTCCAGTTTCATGTGAACTTTAAAAGTTCAAAAGTTTCAAATTTTCAGAGAGATTTAATCGGAATTTAATATACTAGTTCCTTGAAGTTAGTTCCTGTTCTTAAATTCAAAATAATGCACTAAGTATTAACTTATTAATTCCACTGAATTCCAGTCAACTTCCCTATAATGAATACAATTAAACCGAATATAATTAATCGCACACGTAGTTTTCCAAAACTAAATAGTTGAAGAATATAAAAGTACGTAACATATAAAAAGAGTATAAAAGTGTCATTTTAATAACGTAATATTAAAATATCAGTAGAATATTTATACTTGATTTTTACTTACCCTTTAATGTTTATATTTTTCAATTTACTTTCATAAAATGGCGATAAGAACATAAATAAATAACACAAAAATTGTGTATTCAAGTAAAAATTGAAAAAATATCACACGTTATTTTTTTCTATACTAAAAGGACAAGTAGAACGCCTCTAAAAGTGTAAGCAGACGTTAATTGTCAATGAAAAATGGTGATCTACTTAGCAGTCGTCCTCAAACGTCCCTGATGTTTCGTCTCGACTTTTCGAGGTCAGTTTTCACGCGTTGCAATCTCAACCCCCTCGCCACAAATGCGACTTAGGCAGAGAACTTTTCTGCGGTTTCGAAACATGCCCGATTCACGGACGACTAGACGGGATCATAGATCCTCCTGGTGATCCAGTGATCCCTTCAAGGCAGTCCTCTTTTTACGATGAGCTACCGTTCCCTTATAAACGATGGCCCAGATACAGCCTGGCCAATTGGTCATCGATACCGCTTCAAAATTCAGCGATTCTCCTTGACATGTGCATACAGAAATTTTTTATTCATTTTTTCCAGCGACTGCAACACTATTTTTCTATCATAGATTAATATTAAAAATGAAAGTTATTAACATACTTAGAGGAGGAGTAGTTTTAATATTTTATTCAGTGACTGCAACATTTATTTTACACTCGTAGATGAACATTAGGAATAAAAGTTATTAAAATATTTCGAGGAGTATTTTGGAACATTTTCTCCTTTTTTTTTTAAATACTAGAAAAAGGAGATGTACACTACCGGCCAAAAGTTTAGAATCACCGAGCATTGCACTTTAGACAAAACTTTCCTGAAAAAAGTCAGCGACTTTGAGAATTTTTTATCGTTCGAATCAATTGATATGAGACAAATTGATAAAAGTAGAAATGGGATAAACTTGAAATCTATAAAAAATTAGCAGCAGATTTAATATTGATGAAAAGTGGGAGGTGATTCGAAACTTTTTACTGGCAGAGTATATTCATTGTAATGTAATTCTATTTGGAGTGTTCTTTTTTGTAATAAATTCTTCTTTCAGTCTAATGTTTATTCTTCTGTCTAAATAAAAATTGGCGCAAACAAGGAACTGACAGATTTATACTTCGCAGAGATAATAATTTATATTTTATTTTCAAATGTCACCTACTTTGTTTGTAAAATAATTAAAGTGAATAATAGTAAATGCTAATTAACTTAATTTTTTACAGAGATAGTAATTATGAGAAAATTGTGGCATAGCAGTGGTTCAATTTCAATTTATTTTCAAACAGTGTTTACTTCCTTTAGAAAATAATGAAAATAAATGGTAATGAATACTAAGGATAGAAATCACACGAATATTTTAAAGGCAACAAGCGATTATCAATATTAGTCTGATTTTTGTTTTCATATAAAACATTTCTCAAGTATGTGCATTTGAATGTTTACTTTCGGTCACCGTATTATACCAGGTTGTTCGTATAATTGTACATTACACGAGCAAGTAAATTAGAGTAGCGACCTGGTTTGTTTAATTAACATCGATTCAGATCCCCTGTTTACAATGTAACATGATATAATTCGGTCGATAACTTTAAGAAAGAGTTGCGCAAGCTTTTACGCAAACTGGCTCTTCTAACACGCGATGCTTGGAACATGCAACATGATTAGGTTCTGAGTGATTTAAATGAGTTGATAATTTTCGCGTTTTCTGTCAGAAATTCTGTTATCTTTTCACGTATTAAACTACATCCTTCTTCTTTACAAAGCTTGTGTAATTAATGCGACAAAGAATTCAGAATTATAAAAACGTGAAACAGGTTTTATCCGCAATAAATTGACATTGACCAAAGAATAAATTAAAACAAAGTTACAACGTATAATGAGAACTATTGAAATATTAAAAATGATAATTATATATATTGGGTTGGCAACTAAGTTCCCGCCGTTTTTTTAAATTTCAACATTCCGCATGTCGTTAAATGTTTTTGGCATACTGTTTTAAATCATTCGAAAGAGGATGTTTCGTTCTACCGGAATCTTCTTTGTTCGAGTTAATTTATGTTAATTTCTGTTAATTTTCAGATGATTAAAATAGAATGTCAAGTAGAGAAAAATGAGCATTTTCGACACCTCCTTCTTTTTGCTTTTAATCAAGGTTCTAAGGACGCAAAAGCTGCTCGCGACATTTGTGCTATGTATGGAGAGGGTGCCATAGCTGAAAGAACCGCTCGTGATTGGTACGCCAAATTCAAAAATGGAAATAGTTTTGTTCTACCGGAATCTTCTTTGTTCGAGTTAATTTATGTTAATTTCTGTTAATTTTCAGATGATTAAAATAGAATGTCAAGTAGAGAAAAATGAGCATTTTCGACACCTCCTTCTTTTTGCTTTTAATCAAGGTTCTAAGGCCGCAAAGGCTGCTCGCGACATTTGTGCTGTGTATGGAGAGGGTGCCATAGCTGAAAGAACCGCTCGTGATTGGTATGCCAAATTCAAAAATGGAAATAATGCCAACCAACGGAGATTGTGGCTGGTTGATTTTTGTTGTTGTCAGTTAAAGCATGCGGAACCCATGCTCCACACTTCTGAAACTTTCCCATCGAGTGAAGATGCTTCTCTATAGCAGTGTGGGAGCATTCCATTTTCTCTGCCGGTTCCCTTGTCGTTTGACGCGAATTTTCGTGCAAAAGTTGGTTTAATCGCTCTTCATCGAACTCAACTGGACGGCCAGAACGAGGTACGTCTTTGAGGTCAAAATTTCCATTTTTCAATTTGGCATACCAATCACGAGCGGTTCTTTCAGCCATGGCACCCTCTCCATAGACAGCACAAATGTCGCGAGCAGCCTTTGCGGCCTTAGAACCTTGATTAAAAGCAAAAAGAAGGAGGTGTCGAAAATGCTCATTTTTCTCTACTTGGCATTCCATTTTAATGATTTGAAAATTAACATAAATTAACTCGAGCAAAGAAGATTCCGGTAGAACAAAACATCCTCTTTCGAATGATCTAATACATTATGCCAAAAACATTTAACGACATGCGGAATGTTGAAATTGAAAAAAACGGCGGGAACTTAGTTGCCAACCCAATATATAAATTTAAATGTTTTCATTTTATGTGAATGTTCAAAAGTTTCAGATTTTTACTTTTACTATTTGTGCACAAATGGACAAATAACGATGAACATACAAAACAAGTCTCTGCTTCTCGGAAAATACAACCTGAACGTAAGGTATAAAATGGATATTTCAATGAATTACTTTTCTGATCACACACACACAGTAATTTTTAAAATAAAATTACTTCAGTTATCAATGAATAAGCTTCCAAAGGTGTAGAAATCAATTTAATTTCTCTGAATGCTGTTCAGATAATTCTGTGAGAATCGTGATAGATGAAACAATCGTAACTCTTTTCAGTTGGTATTATATGAAATTTTCGTTAATGGCTCTATTCAGTAGGAATGCGTTCACGTTGCACGCGTTCAAACAAGCTACAATTCTCGACCTTTACGAAAGGAACGAATCACGATGCTCGA